GTAAGTGACAAGTGAAAGATATTATTTTTCCAGTCTCACCCCAGGTGCAGTCAAAAGAGAATCTCCAAACCAGGCTTATGGTGGTGCCTGAGAGTGAGAAGTCAAGTGGATTCTTCTGGGTGATTCCAGAGTCATTAGAATCTTTTTTTTTTTTTTTTGGTACCAGGGATTGAACTCAAGACCTTACGCTTGCCAGGCAGGAGCTTATGATGCTGAGCTATCTCTCCAGGTCAATACTTGGAGTCTTGACAAAAACAGAAACTGGCTGTATTTCTGGAGGTGAAGATATCACTCAACCACATTCGATTACATGTGAGTTGTACCACATACCACAAAGGATTATGAGAGCATGGTAGGCCTTCACAAAAAGCTGCAGCTCTTTCTTAGAAAAGTTTCCTTTGGGGACATGCACTAATGTTGTATTGTAATCTTGGCTTGTGACAGAAAATATTGGTAGGAACCCAACTCTCAACTTTAACTTTCAGCAGCACACTCTGATGTGGAAGAAGTGCAGGAAGAACACATGTGGAAACTGGAATGCATTCTCCAAGCTTAACAGTTTGTCAAGGGCAGGTCCGACCCACACGGTCCCCCCTGCAATTTCCTCATCTCTTTTATACAGACTGGAAGCACACTCAGCAGGAAACCCAGCTATATCCCGCATGGCTGGGTCTCTGGCTGGACAGCAACAAAGACAGTGTGAGGAGGCGGGTGGCTAGACCCCAGGCAGGCTCTGTGCACTGTAGCTGAATGACTTCTGAATAGAAATGACTTAAAAGAAATCTCTTCCTGCAGGTCTAATGAGCCCCCCTGGGAAGCTCCCGATGTGAATGGGAATCACGACTTGACACAAACGGGAAGGATTATGTGTCAGCAGGGCTGATTTGATTCTTAATGGAGTGTTAATTTATTTGCTGTGATTTTGCACATCTGCTTTGGCCACAATACCATATTCCATTAATCTCAGAGATATTACTACACAAAGGTATATTTTCTGCATATAAGGTGCGTAAGGAATGGGCAATTTATACTTGTGGGTTTTTAAAAAAGGAATATATAAGCTTTCATTCAAAGGGCTGGTAGGAGGTACAACATCATCATCACTTAGGTACTAAGTCTCTTGGGGCTGGGGGCTATCATCCAGTCTCTCGGGTCCATGAAGTTTGAAGTTTTTTTTTTTTTCCAGAACCAGGGATCGCACTTGTGCCGCTGAGCTATATCCCTGGCCCCGAAGTGTAGTTTTGAAGTTAATGGGTTTGTTTACTCTTAGTTCACAAGGCAAGTTACAGTGTTGAGGGCTGCTTAAGACTGGCAGATTGGACAGCTTATTCCTTTTGGAGATATGATTTTACATATGTCTTCTCTAAACTGCATATCAATTCTGTTTCTCTAAACATTTGAGCTGAAGTTTAAATGTAGGGCGGAAAACACACACACACACACACACACACACACACAATTACTTTATAGGAAGAAGTAGATTTCATCTGTCACTTATGCTCAAGTCTCACAAGACAGATTGAGTGTACCCCTTCAGAAGACAATGTGATGGCTTCATTAGGAAACAAATGGATGTAGGCCACTGCGGGACACAAAGCTTGATTAATCCTAGCTGTTTGTGAATGAAACGTTGGGGACTTTAACACAGCGACCAGTCTCAAATAGGATGCTGTCCTTCCCAGTCACACAAATCACAGGAGACTACAGATGCTGCTACTTCCCAAGGGAGAGGTACCCAGGGCTGCGATCAGCTCCCCACGTCCAGCTCACTGATGTGGCAGCCTGAGCTTAGCATGCTCAGAGCTAGGGTAGCAGGTGGTTGACCACAGTGATGAAGAGAAAAGTGGGAACAAGAGCAGTAGGCTGGTGGCTAGCAAGGACACTTTTAAGGAAGTGTCCTTCTACTGAAGGAACCAGGCTGCCTTAGGCTTCTAGGAAATTCATTCATTCATTCATTCATTCATTCATTCATTCATTCATTCATTCACTTATTTATTGTACCAGGGATTGAATTTAGGACCTTGTGCTTGTTAGGCAAGTGCTTATGCTACTGAGCTGTATCCCTGACCCATGCTAGGAATTTTGCTTGACAAAAAGAACCTTTTTCTCCTGACTTATATGCTGCTTGATGTCAGGAGGAGAACTGGGACTGACATCCACTTCAGGAACACATAGCTCTCCCAAGATAAAGGGAGCAGAGAGCCAGGATAGCTACCTCAGAAGGGTTTTTTCCCACGATGCTAAAGACACTAGAGAAAACACCATGGTATGAGGTGTGTCTTCTTTTCCCCAAGAACTTATGGTCCAGTAGAGTACGTTAACCTGGATTCTACAGCACACACAAAGCTCCAGGGAAGTTTCACTTACCAAATATTTGAAGTAGTAAAGCTAAAGGTTCACTCTGGACCCATCGTTGAGAAGACAGCAAGACTATAGGTGTGTCCAAAGATAGGATTGAATCTGGTATACCTAGAGTAAATGGGATTGTTCATAGAAGATCCACTCCACCCCTGAATTAGAGTGTTCAGCAATGCCCTCTGCTATATCATTTTGCAGTTTTTCCTATTAGAGGAGGAGAATATTTCCATGCTCAGTTAAAGAATATTACTGCTAAGCTATGGATTTGCAAGGTTGACAAGCTAGGAATTATTCTTCTTTACATGCATGAAGTGATGACATCTTCATGACCTACATCACATTTTTCCCTTTTCTATCCTCAGCGCTTACATTCTTCAGCCTTTTGAATTGTTTTAACTTTTTTCTCAAGGATTCTATATCAGTTCCTTCGTACCTCTTGTCTTCATTGCTTATACGACATTGGGTGACTTGCATAGATTTTAAGTTAGAAGGTTGGCAATGGGGGCCCCATTACTATATTTTTAATAAATGGTCTAAGATGATCTAATAAATACTAAAGTTTATTCTATGAGTTTCATTGTTGTTTATCCAAACTCTATTTTAATATTGCAGGATGAGTTTTAAGTAAAAACTAATGGAAAGAATGTCTTACTAACTTAATTGGAAAGCCAACTGGACAATAAGATATATATTTATTCCCCACCTTGTACTCCCTCATTGCCCAGAAGAAAACAAGAACACCTACCTTGGGCCAGGGAGATGGCTAAGTAGAATAAGTGATTGCCTGGTAAGCTCACGAGTTCAATCCCCAGTTCCACAAGGAAAAAAAAAAAAAAAACAAAACCAAAAAACAAAAACAAACAAACAAACAAAAAAAAAACAAAACACCTACCTTCACCCTACTGTCCTATTTATACTTTATACCTTTCTCCGTTTTTAACTGATTCTTACTCATCAAATGAAAAGCTGCTTTCTTCTTTCTTTGGGTGAAGAGCCAGCCCAAGGACAAGGCCTTGGTGATTCCTGAGGTGCAGGAGCTTGCTTGGGGTCATGCCTTCAAAACCCACGTATGTAGAAGTACGTTGTTAGTAAATGAGAGCCCACACCCCACACCTTTCTTCCTAGACCCCTGGCCACCAGCTGCCCAATCACTGTGGCTATTCTACAGTTGAAAGATCATTGTGGTGTGGCCTTATGTAATACATAGTGTGCCATGATCCCCATGTATAATTAAAGCTGCATTATATGCCTAAGACGAGTCAGAAGCCCTTTCACAGTTGTATTTTTCAAAGAACTACAACTTCTTACCCCACTGTACTTTTTGTATATTTCTATGAAATACTTCCTACTACAGTATCTCCTACTACTGACCCCTGAGCTATTTAGTGGCTTGGTGTGATAGGATCAATTTTCCAGCGACCAATTAAGCAGTTGTTCTAGACACAACTGACAACAAAATGTAAAAATAAAAACAGAAACCAGGACTGCTCCTTGAGAGAAGAAAACCAAGGTTGGACAAGGAAGTGGGGGTGGGGTGAGCTTGCTACAAAATAGTCTCCTAAATCCAGATTAGACCAGGTTGAACTGAAGTTTACTCCCCCTCCTATTAATAAAATAAAAATAGAAAGGGCAGGGCATCTCGGCTTGTAATGGGGAAGTCAGATCTCTAAGCAGGGGCACCTCTCTGTTGGGCGCCCTTCCACACTTCCATCCACCTTCTCTTCAGAGGCTACTTCACACCTGCGTTCACGCTTCAGCCTGGAAGAGCTCTTCTGGCCTTCTTCGCCCTAGCACTGGACCCTTGGTGCCTCAGTCTCAGCCCCGCTGTCCTCTTCACCAGAGATTTAAAAAATGCCCTCCCCCACTCGCATCTCCACCCAGAAAAGGAATTCCAACTGCGCCCCCAAGGCAAAAGCGAGAGGTGAGGGATGCACCAAGAGACCCACTAGCTACCCACCCTCCCCACTCACCCATGCGTCTGCTCCGGGCTCCCCTTCCTCCTGCGAGGGGCTGGCAGTCAGGTGGGGTTACCTGGATGCCAGGAGATGCCCCCAAGGGCGCTGCAATGCCTCCTCTCCCTGTCGCCCCGTCCCGCCAGGCCCCGGGACTCCGGCCCCTCTCCCCCCGCGCGCGTCCCCGACCCCTCGGGCTCCGACGCGCGGCGACAGCAGCCGACCTGGCGTGACGCAGGCGGAGACTACTTAAGCGCGGATTAGAGGCGGCGGCCGCGGATTCCCCGGCCCGGCAGCCAGCTCTGCGCTCGGGCCTCGCGGGCGGCAGCGCGAGCACCAGGTGCCTGCGACGTAGCCTGCAGGGGGTTGGCGCTGGACCCTCCGCGGCGGCCGCGTCCCCCGCAAGCGAGCGCGGCGCCCGCACACCCCGGGTGGCCGGAACCCCGCGCCCTACCCACGGGCCCTGCCCCGCCCCGGCCAGGCAACTGCGGTGGGACCAGACCCGATTCCCGGACGGCGCCGCCGGAGGTTCGTGCCTCTTCTCCGGAACGCGCCACCTGCCGCATCAGTACGGACGCCTGGGCTTTCTTTTCCCATTTCTCTCTTTTCAGTACAATCAAAGGGAGGGGGGATTCGTGGATTTTTAAAAATTTCGATTGCTTCTTTCATTGGGGGACACTCCGCTCCCAGCCCGGAGGTGCGGCCCGGGGAGGGGCCAGGAGCAGGAACGTGCCCGGTGCTGCCCAGTCTTTGTCTGCTGCCTCCGGATGCACAGCGATGGGGGAATGGACCATCTTGGAGAGGCTGCTGGAGGCCGCCGTGCAGCAGCACTCCACTATGATCGGGAGGTAAGGGCGCCCAGCCGGCGTCGGACGGCCCTCGGGAGTAGCTTCTCACGTCCACAGCGACCCCGGCCCGCCCTCCTCTGCCTCCTCCCCACCGTTTTGGGGCTGCGAGTCTGTGTTCCCGGCGCTGAGGGATTACCCTCGGCCGGCGACGCCCCCTCCTCCTGTTACTTCAGCCTCGCTCCCACCCCTTCCCTAGGATGCGCCACCCGGGAGGGGGTAGTCCCTCTTCCCATATCAGAGAGGAGTTCTTGGCTCCGTCCTGACCCCCCCGCCCAAGAGTCAGAGCCAATCTCCATCCGGTTCCCTAAATAGAATCTACGAAGAAGGCAGCCTTGCATTTGGACGGAGAAGGGCAAATGGGGAGATGGATTTGCTCTTCAGAGCAGATGTGTCTTTTCTCAACAAATATTTTTTCCATTAAAGTGATTTGTTAAAATGATGGTGCCAGGAGTCCACACATCCAGTTGGCATTTTTGTGAGTCTCTATATATGTACCCTATCTGCATATATATGAATTCGTATATGCATATGAATATAAAATCATAGATATCTGTTTCATAAAGTATTAAGTTCAATATTATGTTGAGAATAGACCAAATATACACACACTGTAGTTCCAGATACACCCTATGTCCAGAACCTGAGGCAGGCACTGTTTGCACAAGTATTTTGTGTGACTTTGCCATGTCCAGAGATGTCAAGTGACTCCGTGACACATAAATGAAATCCATACGTTGTAAATAGATCGCGACCTGTGCATGCAGATGCATATGTGGGGTTCCTGTAATAGGAAGTGTTCCCAGTCTATTTGCACCCAGCAGAAAAAGAGGCAGAAAATTTTCCAAGATTTGCAGTTCAGAACCACGTCAAGGTGGACAGCTCCCCCAGCCAGGGCCTGGCAAATACCGGGCCAGGCCAGGGAAGCACAGGGCTTTCCCACCAGTGGTGGATCCCGCGAGAACCTCTTTCCTTCCTTCTTCCTCTGCTCAGGATCCTGTTGACGGTGGTGGTGATCTTCCGTATCCTCATTGTGGCCATTGTGGGGGAGACGGTGTATGATGATGAGCAGACCATGTTTGTGTGCAACACTCTGCAGCCCGGCTGTAACCAGGCCTGCTATGACCGCGCCTTCCCCATCTCGCATATACGTTACTGGGTCTTCCAGATCATAATGGTGTGCACCCCCAGTCTCTGCTTCATCACCTATTCTGTGCACCAGTCTGCTAAGCAGCGAGAACGCCGATATTCTACTGTCTTCCTAGCTCTGGACAGAGATGCCCCTGAGTCTATGGGGGGCCCTGGAGGAACTGGTGGTAGTGGCAGTGGTGGAGGCAAAAGAGAAGATAAGAAGTTGCAAAATGCCATTGTTAATGGGGTGCTACAGAACACAGAGAACACCAGCAAGGAGACGGAGCCTGACTGTTTAGAAGTTAAGGAGCTGACTCCACACCCATCAGGTTTGCGCACTGCAGCGAGATCTAAGCTCCGAAGACAGGAAGGGATCTCTCGTTTCTACATTATCCAAGTGGTGTTCCGAAATGCACTGGAGATTGGGTTTCTGGTTGGCCAATACTTTCTCTACGGCTTTAGTGTCCCAGGGTTATATGAGTGTAACCGCTACCCTTGCATCAAGGAGGTGGAGTGCTACGTGTCCAGGCCCACTGAAAAGACTGTCTTCCTAGTGTTCATGTTTGCTGTGAGTGGCATCTGTGTTGTGCTCAACCTGGCTGAACTCAACCACTTGGGGTGGCGCAAGATCAAGCTGGCTGTGCGAGGGGCCCAGGCCAAAAGGAAGTCAGTCTATGAGATCCGGAACAAGGACCTGCCCCGGGTCAGTGTTCCCAATTTTGGCAGGACTCAGTCCAGTGATTCTGCCTATGTGTGAAAGGGCAGGTTTTGGAAGGCCTGTGGGGTGACAAGAAGCCCCAAGGCAAATGAACCACTCACAGGTGGATAAATCAGTCCTCATTTATGCAATTAGATGTAGGATAAGGCTGGTTATCCTAAGGCTGGGTTAAGAGAAGATCTTATGTCAATAGGAGAGGAGAAAAAGTAGACTAATTATATATATTGCACCACTGGCTCCACAGAAGCAGTTGGGTACAGTGATGAGGTGGATGAGCTGGACTTCTTTCTTTGGGCCCTTTCCTTTTATGGTCTAAATTCTGGTTAATAGTGGACTTGCACAGCTACCAAGCAAGACTAAGCTCTATTGAGCTCTGTATTCTGGTAAATGGCATGAGTCAAATACTTCATTGATACAAATTTTGTGACCTTTTTCAACACATACCTTTATCCTGGGCTGCAGGATAGCATCCGTGAGGATTCTCTGTATCACCCCCATCAGCATGCCCCTTTTCCTTAACCCAGGATAGCATGCCAGCTTTTTTTCTGAACCTGGCCTTACATTAGACCTAATATGGTTTATCTGCAAGCTAGAGGGAAATACAAGGGGTGCTTTTTGGAGACTGGCCATGGCAGAGGTTTGCACTAGAGCCCCATCAGACTGGCTCTTGGTCATTATGAAAACCCTAGGAATGTCTCAATATTTCCAGTTTTCTAACTCAAATTGCACTGGTGCTGTTTATTATGGGTGGGAGATGGGCGGGTGGGAGGGAATTGCAATATGCAACTACAAACTTCTGTGAGATGGTTGTTGCACTGTTAGGCATGTATTTATGAGCTTTGGAATATTTTTGCCTTCCAACTTGTGGACTTTGGATAGCATTAAAAAGATTCCTGTTTTGTTAATAATGAGGGTGTTCACCCATGCCACCGAATTCCTAGCTGGTATATCTTACTCATTTTCTTATATAGTTTTATTGTGCATCATAGCTGCACATTTTGCCATGGTTTGAATTTACCTGTGTGCTCACACCAGAGACCTTAATCATCCCATGTCAATCCCAGTTTATTATTTTGTCAGTTAGTTTTGAAACACACACACACACACACACACACACACACACACACACACACAAATCACTGGTTTAAACCCTTGGAACTAAACACCATTGGCTAACACTAGTTTACGGATGTTTATTTGAGACATATACCAAAGGTTCAAAAACCTATTGCTTTGGATTGTGAATATGTTTCCTTCTCTTTGCTCTTATTTATTTAAGTGCCATATTATTCCTTTATTATCCACTGTGTATTTAGCTAAAGCATTGGCCAAGTGTAACATTTGGATAATGTGCTTTTATGAAGCCCTCTGTTTCCTTTGAATTATCATTATCATTTTGATTTACATATGGATATGGTGTAATATACAACGGAGAATTTATTTAAAATAAAGTTTTTGCCTTTTTTGTAAAAAGGGAAGTGCTTGCATTTTTCTATTTTTATCAGAGTTGTATTTATTTAAATAAATGTTCAAAAATGTGACAACAGCAGAACATTGGAGGCAGGAAGTGAGCGGTGAATGAAAATTATTTGAAGGACAAACAACACTCAATCAGCTGCTAGCAAATGAAGCAAGGCTGGCATGTTTTATAAATACTTAGAAAGGAAGGATGAGGTATTTGAATAATGGTACTTTGTTTCCTGCTTTAGCTCAAAATTTCTTTGCCTATTTTTTATAATGGTCAATACTGGATCATATTATCTCCTTTTAGGAATAAGATTTTTTTTTCTTTTGTGTTACTGGCGATAGAATTCAGCACCTTGCCCTTGCCAGGCACATGCTTATATCACTGAGATATCTCCCTAGCCCTCTAGGAATGAGCTGTTTTACGCCATGTTTTCTTCTGCCATGCTTTGTTAACTTGGCAGACATACTATTTTCCCCAAGATTTCTTCAGGGTTTGTTGTTTAACGAAGTTATCACAATTGTCACAAAGAACCTTCTTCTACTAGCGCTGCTCAGTAGAATTGTCTGCAGTGATGAAAATTTTTTCTTTTTAAGCTATCCAATATGGCAAGCTGCATATGACACCTAATCTCTTAAAATTTAGCTGGTGCAATTGAAGTAATAATTTTAATTTAGTTTTATTATTAATTTAAATATCCACATGTAGCCACTGGCTAGTGTACCATAAAGCATAGTTCTAGACTCTTAGTCATCAAGTTCATCAGGGGGATGAACTTTGTTACGTGCCGTTGGGCCTGTTTGGCCCACAGTTTTTGGCCTACCTGTGGCAGCTTATGCTATTTTGTAGTTATTTGGTGTTATTCACCTCATTCCAAGGGGCAATGGGTTTAAACATCATGAAGCAGCATGGATTTTCCTGGATGACTTTTTTCAATTGCAATTGTTGCACCGTTAGTTATGACAGCATAGATACCAATTTTAGGATGAAATTTATTAACTTCAATCTATAAGATTTAGTATATGGGCCGGGGAGATGGCTCAGTGGAAGAAGCACTTGCCTGGCAAGCGCAAAGGCCTGAGTTCAATTCCCGGTTTCGAAAAAAAAAAGATTTAGTATAAATAAGTAGTTGAATATGATTATCTTTGAGTAAAGAAACAGATCCTTTGCTTTTTTTCCCCCTTGGGTGAGCTAAAAATGTTTCAAGACACCTCCTAGAGATGAAGTAAGAGTGTCGCTTGAGAGCTCTTAGCATATGCTTGGGTGTGAAAGCAATAGGAGTCTGTGTGGAAAACATGATCTGCTGTATATATGCTCAATACTGGATTAGAAGAGTAGAGTTTCCTCATAGAAATGTATCCTGTATCCATGGGGCTGAGCTATTTCAGTTGTTTAATGTTTCTGAACACCTGAAAATAGCAAGACTGTGCTCTTTCATGTTAGTTGTATGAAAGGGCACGATCTTGCCATTTTCAGATGTTCATGTAACTATGGGATGGATGTGACCTTGTACTTTGTGAGAGGACAGCCTTGATAGTCTTAAATTTAAGAGCTTTTTAGTAAATCACAGGTCCTCTTGGCCTTTGCATAACTCTGTGTGTGTGTATGTGTAAGTTCAAGAACTAAGCTTACCCCTTTGGGAACATCTCATTCATTTGTTTTTGGTGGTGCTGGTGACCGAACCCAGGGCCTTGAGCATGCAAGGCAAGAGTTCTACCACTGAGCCACATCCCAGCCCTGCTTAGGGAGCATCTTGAAGGGACTCTAGGTTTAAAAAAAACCCCAAAACTGAAGAATTTAGAACCTACAAGTCTTCATATTTTTAAAGTTTTTTAAAAATACGAGGCATAACAACTCTACTCTGATCTCCCTAGAAAGAGGGAAATGACTGGATTTAAAACTGAGGGCGTTGTGTTTAGAAAAACACTAAAGGGAACATGGTCTTATTTTTTAATTCTCCAATTTTGTTGCTTTTTACACTGTTTCTTCCATAGGGATGCCCACCCCACCCACTCCCTTCACTAGGATTGTGCCTCTTCACCCACTAAAAGTCAGTGGCTTGGCCCTCATCTGCCAAGCTCTCTCCAGGACAACTCGGTGTGCTGCCCAGAACTTTCATAAAATGCTCTTTGCCTGTCACTTGGTGCATGAAGGCGAGATATTTCTGGATCAGAACATAGTTCCTTGTAGGCAGGAGCTGTGCATTAGCCACTCATTTATGACATTTACTGTCACTGTCTTGTTTGCTTCCAAAGAAATGGGTCCCTCAATCTCCCATCTGAGAATAACCTTCCTGACTCAGACTGTATGAAAGATAAGCATGTCCTGTGACTAAAATGAGGCAAATCTTTTATTGTGCAGTTGAGAAAAGCAAAACATCTAAAATTAAGATAGTGGGTTTCTTGAATGCCCAAATAATGTAAGCATTCATCTTGGAAAATTAAAATACATAAGGAGCAATATTTAGATTGATTTTTGTCTTGTACTTTATTATGTATATTATTTTGCTGAAATTGATATTACAAAATGCCATAGATAAGCAGCTTAAACAACAGAAATTTATTTTTTCCTGGTTCTGCAGCCTGGAAACCCAAGATGAAGGTGCTGCAAAGACGGGCTTCCTCCACTTTCCGTAGTTTACAAATGCCTACCTTTGCAATGTGTCTTCATATGCTTATTTCCTTTTGTATGTATGCATTCTGATGTCATTTTGTGTGTCTGAATTTCCAAATATCAGTCAGATTGAATTAGAGTTTCATTTTTCACTTAATCACTTTGTTTTAAAGCAATAATTTCTTTAGAATCCCTACCCTCAAATATGGTCACATTATTAGACACTGGAAATTACAGGCATTACATATGTATTTAGAAAAGGCACAATTCAGTCTATATTACTAAGTTTTTTTCAAATCTCTATGCACTCATATGCTTAGGAAGACTACTTAATGTATTGTACAATAAGACACCTTGAGAAACAGAAGGACAATGTATCTCATTTAATGGAAAATCAGAACAATAGATATAATTAGAATACGCTAAGCAAATCAAGTTTTGTGAATGTTTTATTTGTGACAATAAAAACTGACACTGAGCTTATGCTGTAGGACCTGGAACCTTGGAGATGCCAGGTTACTATCACCAAAATATTAGCTGTTGTGAAGTCTATGAAATGCAACTTATTAGACCAAAAAATAAAAATATGTCTATAGGAAAACAATATTTAAAAACATCAATGATTTATCCCATTCCAAACTACCTTTGTTAGAGGATCTGATGCTATTTAGTGGGGATCAGTAACTTTACACTTCCCATTTCTACAGGTGAGAAGAAACGAGTCAGAAAGATTCATAAGATCGCATGAATCACATATTTGGAAAGGAAAGCATGAAAGGAAGAAATAAGAAGTGTCAGGTTCTCATGAAAGAGCTGCCCTGGATCAAATTATACCTGGGGTCAGTGATGAGAAGGTGCACTATGTAAGGAAGAGTGATGGCCATTTTCAAGGGTTTTGGATGGGAACAGAGGCCAAGTCTGAGACTTCCATAGTGGCAAGAGGGGCTGATCAAGGATAGAACGTGGAGTGGGCAGAGGAGGCACAGCCTGGGCTAG